CACAAGATTTAGAGATAACAAATAAAATTTCAACTAGCAATTTAAAACAAATCAAAACTAGTTTTCACCAACCAAAAAAAAGTCTTTGTGAACCTGTTTTAGACAATAAATAACGACGACAAAAGATTTTACTTCAGTAGCTCCAAGCAATACAAAATGATTCCTCACTTCAATATGTTGATCCTGGCCACAAGAAATTCCTTTTCAAGACCTCATTTCAATTAAGAGATGCTCCCTATGAGACAGAACAACCTGCATTACAAGTAAGACATATCAGCATTCATTCAAAGAATTAATTTTTTCTTCTATAACAAACACTGTACAAAAGGAACATTTTATAAAGACACCTAGTTATATACATTTTCCTCTTTGGGCATTTTACAAACTTTCCAGGCTTCAGAGCAACTTTCCACACACTGTGACCTCGTTTAATATTTCTGTATATGTAACATTACAGCTAAAACCAAACCCCAGATTTATTCTCATGGTGCAACTTCTTCTAGTCAAATGCCTGTGACTTAAAAAATAACCATTTGGCCAGATCATCATCCACGAATTAAGTCCATAAGATGAAGTGTAGGTAAGGAAGAAATGAACAGTGTCTTTCCTTTCACATTATTCCCTATGGGCCCTCTCCATCTCTTTGCCCTTTTCACAGGTAGTGACCACTGTCTTATAGAGAACATTGTTCTTTGTCTTGTCATCTTTCTCTAAAAGAAAGTAATTTATTGTCATTCAGTGACTTTCTTTGTCCAAGTAGCTTGCCATGTATTTGTGAAGTCCGCTTTACTTAAATGATAATCATTGGGAAAATAAATGTCCAAATCCATTTTTGTGGCAGGTCGGCCTTTTTGCATTTAACAAGATATCACCTGACACTGATATCACTACATATAAAATTATTGTTTGCTACAGAAAATATCTAATGTTTAATTTTGCCTCTCCTGATTCCTTCATGCTTGATCTGATTTATCTATCCTTCCTCCTTTGTCTGCTTAGTAATCCACAGTTATTGGTTGATCAACAACAATGGTGTCTTTTATAAGTAGAAGGCTAACATACCATTATATTAATAATTGTTGCTAAAAGCAAAACTAGGACTGGATCACTTTAATATGGTGAAAAGCCTCAAGAAGAGTTTGAGACTAAAGCTGGTTGCTAGCTAGTCTTTCTCAAAGTAATGACAGTAGACAAAACATACACATATGTATAAAATGTACAAGACCAAACAAACACAAATGGAAACATTAAACCAGAAAGCATAGAATAGAAGCTTTAGATAAATGATGAGAATCAATGTAACTTGAAATCAATGGCAAACAAGCAGCTGCAATTAAATGATAGCTAAACACCTGCCGACACATAATGATATGATGCATAACAAATTAGAAATCAGTTTATAAAATGGCCATCTTCAGCAAGCATTCTACAGTACACATGTTGGATTGAAAATCTTCAAGCCTATTTATTGTCTTTCAGAACTTGTATGAAGACAATAGTTAAAACCAAAACAAGGCTGGTTTCTTGGCAAGAACAGTTTTCTAAAGGATATTTTTAAAAAAGGCAATTTTTTATGTCTTATTTATATGGCAATATAATAAACATATTTACTAGATATTCTTCTCCTATACGCTGTGTCCACTCAGGATAGGTGATCATGGCTCTCCACAACTTTCTATTTTTTTGTAGCTCCAAGCAACATTTGTCCCTTATTATCCCTTATTATCCCTCCTCATCCACACACTTCCAACTATTTATGTTGACTCATTACACTGGTTATCCAATGTTTTCCTTTGTCTCTCCTGTCTTCATTATGTCATTTGGGTATCAAATTCTCTGAGGCCACTTGCATTATGTGTTGCAGATATTTCAACTATCTAAGTACAACTGTTTTTTTTTTTTGTTTCCAATTTATGCTTCATTGCTCACATGTTCTATTCATGGTATTCTCAGTATCCTTCTGTAGAACCACATTTCTATTGCCTTGAGTCTCCTTTCATCTGTGTGGAAATGGTCCAGTATTTATTGTAGTAGGATTGATATTACATAGTAAACCATTACTCTTTTCTTTATTTCTAATGACATTTTTTCTGCTTCTTAATAATTTGCTTAGTTTGCGGAAGGTATCTTTTGCTGTTCCTTTGAATTTCTATATCACATTTTCTGTCATCTGTTATAATAATTCCTAAATGCTTAAATTTCTGTATTTCATTCATTGTAGCATCTCTAATTTGCAGCTTCCACCCTGAGTTTTCCCTGTTACTAATAACCATATGTACATTCTGTCTTCTTACAATTAATGGTTATTCCTTCCTTTTCATATTCCTTGGATAGGTGCTTCTGCAGTTTCCTTTCAGTGTTTACCATCAATATGATGTCATATCTTATGTTATTAATACTGTGTCCACCAATAATAAGCCCTGATATTACGTCTAGTTTTTTTCTTTTTTTGATACCAGAATGATATTGTTTTTCATATAATCTGACTATGTTATTTACTGAGCATTTAACCCCATTAAAAATTAAATCAGATTCAAGATGAATTGAATGTTATTCTGTGGATTTTGATAAGATTTCCTTTACCTGGTCCTACCAGAGTAAATGAAACAGTTGAAGAGAGAGATGTTCATTATTGTACATTCTTTGTCTAGCAAACAGTGTAACAATAGTGGCAAAAAAGTAGTTCAGGTTTTATCCAAATCTTATTGACACTAACAAATGCCAGTGTTGGTTCACCAAATTCCAATCAGGCAATTTACAAAGAAGAAATTAAAATGTTGCTTTGAATCTCGTCTTTGTACAAAAGGGGATTGGAAAATTGGTTTGAAGAAGGACAATTGCATTAAATAATGATGGCAATTAGGTGATCGTTTAAACAATAAATATTTTCTAATAAAAAGATGCTTGGCTTTTCCTAAAATGAAAGAATTACTTTCAAGTATGTATAATATTTGATATAATTTTTCTACTACAGAATACCGACTCAATGTGAATGTTGAAAATTTTGATTTCCATATCATTTTTTTTTAACAAAAACTTTTATCTTATCTTTGAAGGATTTAGTCATGATGCTGAGCTGCCACACTTTTGCTCATCATTCTTTGATCTACAGTGTAACATCAATATGTAGTTGCAACATGAAATATAAACTTAATCTGATGAAGTCCTAAAAGAGGAAACACATTACACAAAAATTTTTACACTTTCTCGTGCTTCTGTTCCTTAATATATAAAGAAGATAAAAGTTTGTTATATAAGAAGATAAAATATTCTGTTCCTTAATATATAAGGAAGCTAAAACATTGCAATATAAGGATGATAAAATATATGCAAAACCAACTCCAAGAATATATTTTTGCTGATCACTACCCACTTCACCTGTTCAAGGCTAGAGTTAATAATAATCTTCCTCTCCTATCCACATAAGCCTCTACCTCGAGTGACCTCCATGCCTTGTACAGCATGATCCTTACTGTAAAAAGAATTATGTTGCAGAAGGAGTTTGATAGGTTTGTGTGCTTAAATAAATCCTAATTGAACTATTATCAGACATGAGTCTTGTAGATAGACACATAGTGGTATATCCAATATTCAGGTGTTTGGTTTGATCAGGAATGCAAATCCTTAAGGAACATGTGAATTCATAAATGATATTGGTTCTCTTTAATTTAGATTTTTCAGGTTTGTTGTTATTGTTAAAGATAGATTAGCTGTTTTAAATTTTTTGTAGTAGATAATTTAATTTTCTTGTTCTGATCAACTGGGGTTATATATTTCTTTATAATATTTTTTAAGAGAAAATTCATCTTGCTTATAGTTAATATGTGCATTTTGCTTTTATATAAAATGTTATTGTTTTTATCTGAATGTTCAGTGTTGCTATGAGTTACAAATAAATAGTCTAATCTGGTGATCAATGAGAGAGTTCTGAAAACCATTGTTAACTAGTGTCTGTTTTACATTATTGAGTTCTTTAAGGAAAAGGGATGGAAGAATGAATTCTTGTGTGGTCTCCTAAGGAAATCTTTTATAACAGCAGCTACTTTATGTCTAAGTAGGTATTCACTCATAAAATTAAGGTGGCAAGAGTTTCTACTAATGATTTTTTTGTTTTTTTGTATAACAAGGCGGTGAGTGTGTTTCTACTGAATTTTACCAGAACATCTCAGAATGTTTATTTTTAAATTCATAGGTAAAGTTTTATTTTAAGTTTATTTTATGTTTATTTTTAAATTCATAGGTAAAGTTTTTTATTTATATATATATATATATATATATATATATATATATATATATTTGGTTGGATAGATGTGAATTATACATATATATATTTATTTATATTTATATACACTTTTCATATATATATATATATATATATATATATATATATATATATATATATATAACACTATTGGTATATGGCAAATTATATAATTATATAATTCAATATATATCAAGGCAAACAGAATGCTTGCCAATGAAGTACTCAATAGTTAACTAGAACATTGATTATTTTATGAGAAGTAATTAGAGTTCACAATACTTATCAGTGGTTGACTTAGTGTTTCCTCATTTATCAGGACCCATTTTATTTTATATCTGATTCTTATATACCTTAACTAAATATTCAAATTTTCTTCACTTACAATTGCCAATCTCATAAGTTCTCCACAACAGCTGAAAAGCTAAGTATTCATATATATATATATATATATATGTTCTCAAAACAAATATTAAAAATACCATTTATCTACTTAATTATATAAATAAATAAATGTTTCATATAAGTTATGTTGTATCATTGCATTCAAACAAATATTAACCCCAAATTATAACATTAAAAATACATATTCATATTTAATGGAGTTAAATCTAGATAGATAGATAGATAGATAGATAGATAGATAGAAACAGACAGACAGTCAGATAAATAGGTCAAAACAGTATGATATATATATATGCATAATCAAAATAACATCTTGAGATAAACAGATATGAACAGATTGAGATAGATAGTTAATGAAGAAATTTAGATAGTGAATAGATTTAGATAGATAGATAGATAGATAGATAGATAGATAGATAGATAATGAATAGTTTGGCATAGATAATGAAGAGTATGAGATAGGTATATAGATAATGAAGATATTGATATAGATTAGTTTTCTAATTCCAGACAGACAAGATTCATTCCTAAAGTTCAATTGTTAACTATTACTTTTTTTGAAGTTTTTCTTTTACTAAACCTGGAATTGGTTCAAAATGAGTCAAGTTTTGTAAATCATCATTTTTACTCCTTTTCCTGGTGTTTCTCTATTGTCATCTTTCTTGAGAACAGGGAGAAGGGAAGCTCTTATTTTAGTGAGGTTTTTCTTTTTTGATAGGGATTTATATTTGTCCCACTAATTAACCAAATCACACATTGTTAGCAAGCATTTAGTAAGACTATTGTTTTTTGCATTACCAACAAACATGTAAAGTATCCTCTTCTAATGATACACACAAACAGTAAATGTACTCAGAAAACCCATCAGCCATATTGGACTAAGATTAAACTGTCTTCACTGAATCTAATGAATGGCCTTTGATAATTGGGCTTGGGAAACTCTGGAAAATTATCATCAATAATGAAGCCATAGTCTGGAGAATGCACCAAAAGAGATAATGTTTTAATCTATTCTGTTTGAACAAGGTTTTAGTTACTTGCTTTTATATTCTTTTTGATTTGTCATTTTTGGCATTTTCTGTTTTCATGATTTCTGATAGTAGACAATCTTCTGTTGATCAATACAAATTAATTATTTTTGTATTCAAGAAAGATATTTATTAGTTAACATATGCATAACGTATATTAGGAAGACCTTAACAAATAGAGTATTAAACTGAAAATCATAAGGTTCACAGTTCAACTACTGAAACCTAAAACTCAAGAATTGTTGATATCAAACTTAAAAGTTGTTATAAGAAAAATAACTTCTTTTGCTATTTTTTCTGATTTCTAATTTCACACCTGACACTATTGTAGCATTATATATTTATCTATCTATCAGTGTATCTTCCTCTCTGTTTTGATTTATTTACAATCCTCTCAACCTGTCTATCTTTGTATACATTCACAAGTATCTCATTTTCCCTGTCTATTCACTATGTTTATCTGTCTATATACCATTCAATTTACCCTTGTCTTTTCTAGGGCCCTTCAGTACATCTTTGTTCACAAGCCATTTGAATGTTCCTTTTTGTTCTGTCATCATCCAGTCTCTTTATTTATTCATATACAATTTGAAATGTCCCTTTCTCTTCTTGTATCTTTCAGTCTATCTTGGTCAGTCCACATGACATTGGAACTAGCCCTTTCTATTCTTTTATCTTTCAGTCTATCTTGGTCAGTTCACATGCCATCAAAACTGCCTCTGTCTCTTCTTGTGCTTCTCCTTGTCTATTCACATTTCATTCTATCCATTTCTCTCTATTTTCTGTCTGTCTTTGTTCACTTACTAATATGTCTGTCCATATTTGTTCATGTGCTTTTTTGTCTTGGTCTTTTCATGTGGCTTTACTCTGCTAAAATCTATTTTCATTCTATTGTCTTTGTCTCAGTTTATTTCATATGCCTGTCTGTATGAAGATGTCTGTCCAAACTGGCTAATATATTCTATGTCTATTTATCTATCTATCAATCGGTGAGTCTGACTTTTATCTTCTTCTATATATAGTCTCCACTATCACCATTTTAACCCACTCTTTATTCAACTGACACCAAACCTTGTCAACATCTAGTAAAAAGAATATAGCTAATTAGGTTTTCATTTTGCACAATGCCTGGTTTACATCTGAATATCTGCCAAATCTTTTTCAAAATGTTTCACAGATAAATGTCTTCCATTTTATCATCCTCACAGATATATCCCTCAAGTCACTGAGCCCCTATTTCACACTTCTTCCAAAGAGAAGCTGGCAAGCTTCCAGTAACCAGTCTGACTATCTGCTTCAGTGGAATTATTGAATATCGATCTAGGGAGAAATAGGAACATTTTGCTAGTGTTTGACACACAAGGGGAGGTGATTTAACCAATTGGTTCTTGTATGACTGTACATCTACAACAAATTGTGGAAAATGGTCATTTAGAAGCTCTCTGTTATGCAATGCCACAGATTTGTAATAAATTGGGCGGCCATGTTATTTTTGTTTTTTTAGAATGGGAAATAATTTTATATTATTCTGTCCTCTACTTGGCTAAAATCAAAAAATAGAAGAATCATATGAAATTTGAATGAAGGACAAACAAAAATAATGTCCAGGTTTTTACATTTTAAATTATTATAGGAAAGATTGATTTTTATTTCATTAAAGAATCAATATATACAGCTACAATATTGGTTTAAGAAGAGGATTCATATATAAGATTTTGCATAAGTTGCAATTTTGATGCCGTCTTTTTATACTAAAAATTAGGGGTTGAAATTCATGAATAATGGAAAGAGCTAGAAGCAAGAGTTGAAAAATAATCAATAATAACCAAAAACAAGTCTTTTATTACAATAATATTCCATCTTAAGTGAGTTTAATAAATACTTAAATAGAAATATACATAATAATAGATATGTAACAAAATGGTTATTAGTTTGGAAAATAGAAAAAGCAAGCTGAGTTTCTTGTATTCACTTTTGCACTGATGCCCTTGAAAAATGTTTGAATCAATCTCTTCTCTTCTATGGGTTAAATATTAAAATAAACTCTCTTGCTCAAGATGGTAGCCAGCTCTGAATTCCAAGCCATGGAAAAGGCAATGGGAAACTACTTTTCCAAGAAATCATGGAAATTCACAGAAAAAAAAATATCTGTAGAGAGTCGTGATTACCTATATCCTAAAGGAACCATTCACTTAATCTAGTGATTTTTCAAGCGTAGCTTAGATGTAGCTCGACGCCAAAAGTATGGGGCACCCAGTGAGAATCAAACCCACTACTCAGCCGTAATTGTTCTAGTATGACAAGCTTGCTAACCATTACACTGCCTCAAGATGCCCTAATGATCTTCTAAGCACAACTTAGATGCAGGACAAGGCCTAAAGCAAGGAACACCCACTGTGGATTGAACTAACTTCTCAGTTGAAATGGTTTTAGTGAGACTAGCTTGCTAACCATTACACTACATTGAGGTGCTTCCATTCACTTAATATATGTGTATAAATATTTCACTTTTGCCAGTATACCTTACTTCAGTTTTACCAATGTTCAAGACAGAGTACATAGAAACAATTTTAGTTATAATTTTCTAATACTAGAATTTACTCAATACAAGGCTTGAGAGCCACTCAAGGAAGAGGGTTATTATTAACATGGTTATGATGAATGATGTGTGATATGAATAAAAGAGAAAATAGGAAGTGATTATAAGTATAAGTATAGATAAAAATTGACCCTTGATATTAAAATGTTGTTATATGCCATAAAAATAGAACATTTTAATTAATTATTTTCTTGTCATCAGCAATTAAAGTCAGCTTACATACAAGGCATATAATAATGGTTCTTCTTTTTCTACATGCCTTCAGAACATGGGTGATCATGACTCTACAAAATTTATTATCCCTTGTGACCCTCAGCAGTTTTTCTCCATCTGTAAAGACTCCTCCTGCCATCCATTCACACAAGCTCATCTGGTAGGTAATTCACTGCCTTTCCCTATCTCTCTTGCTTTCAATATGCCCTGTGAGTGTTAAGTTTTCCAAGTCCCCTGTTCCTCATGTTGAAGAAATTTCAGGCATATCTTTCTGATTTTGAGAATAAGTATTCTTTTTGTTGTCATTTTCTTTAAGAATTCCTGCTTGCTTGCTCTGTCCATATAATTCTCAGTATCCTTCTGTAGAACCATATTTCTGTTGCCTGCAGTTTTTTCTTCATCTGTGGGGAGATCTTCCAGCATTCACTGCCATATAAGAGGATGGATATCACATATCAATCCGGATTCAGAATATAGACAGGATCCATTTATACCTATTTAGATAGACTCATTTTCCAATATTTGGATATTTCTTGATGGATACAGCTTTCTTTTTACCTGAGCTCATGAGACACTTACTTGTATCTGTTTTCTTATACACAAGTAAATATGTCAATCAAAAAGAAAATGAGTGTGACATTACCATAATAATTATTTAACTAGCTGTCAAGTCATTGCACGTGTGTTTAATAGATTAAAACAATCAGCAAAAGGACTAAGATAACTTTATATTCAAAGGGCAGCGTCCTCTTGAATCAGTTCCAATTTAGACAATGTTTTAAATATTAACCTTCATTTCACTACAATGAGCCAAATGTATATACAGCATTCTCTTTCAATAATATTTTGTATTTTTAAAAAGTTGTTTCTTATATATAATATTTTGCATTAAAATAAAAGAATAATTATAAAATAAAGAAAATAGAAAAGACAAGAAATATCTGTAGCATTATCTCATTTTTGGACATCTTTTTCAAATCTTCTATTTCACTTACTGGCATAAGAAATAAGGGAATATTAGTTTCTTCCTTACAAGGAAACATTTGGCATTCAGTTACCAAGCAGCCAGTGCTACTTTGGGTAGACATTTATAAAATCTTGTGAAATAATTTTTCAGGAAAATGGGTTTCTTCAAGACCATTAATTGTTGTCAATCTTTCCAATATTAATGGGGGATTCTCTCCTAACCTTTTGTTTGAAGTAGTGTAGAATTATATCATTATTTTCTCTTTGAGTTACATATGCTAACCAATTTAGCTTTTTTATCTGTTGTCCTCAAGTGATGTGGTTTCTATTATTTGGTGCAGTTTTTTGTGATTCTGTGGCACAAATCTGTGAGATTTGAAGAAGGTTGATCCTCACTAAGACCTACAGGTTTCATTTGCTCAAAGCTATTCATTTGAGAGAGTGATTGTATACATATGACACTTTAGATATTTCTGAAGAAATTTGGTGCCATGCATGACACCCATATTAGAATGCAAATCTGAAAAGGTGAATAAATTGCATGACTCATGTTTTTACATAAATGTTTTGGTTTTGTAGCAATTTGCAGTACTGAACAAAACTCTCCATAGCGCAGCCTATTCTATGTTCAAT